ATAGTTTCCAGAGTTCGGACCACCTCTGCCATTGGAGGTCTTGAATCTGTCTCGTCTTGGCAACATTTCATGGCCAAATTCACAAACAGTTTGCAAATGATGTGGGTATTGGTCCGGATATTTTGTTCTCGTCAATTTGAATCCTGTCAAGTTTTGGCAGAGAGCCAAGATCATCAGGCAAGGAACCTGTCAAAAGTGGTTCCCATTCAAGAGCCTGTAAAATAGAATACCACTTCTAAATGAGCAAATAAGAAAATTTGATGCAGATGTGCAGTATTACAATATTGCTAATTAGATCAGAAATGAGCCAGAAAATCATTGTTAAATAAATTTAACTTACAAGAGCTCCATGGTTTTGATATTGCCAATCTCTTTTGGTATACTCCCACTTATGTTGTTCCACATAAAATCCCTTTTACAATGGAAACGGATTATAAACCATCATTAGGTGAAAAGTTATAAATCTTCCAGGAAGGATTGAGATAAAGTAGCTTTCATAAATTACATAGCCTCACAATATTGACAGACGAGACAAGCGGCCAAGTACCGGTGATAAAGTTCCTGAAAGATTCATATTCAGCAGGTGCCTGCATGAAACAAAACAAATGAAGAAAGCAATATAGCATAGTTGTTAATTAGCAAAAATGTCAAAAAGCAATTAGGTGAAAGTTTATTGGAAGTTGATATTTAGTTTTTATGGGTTTGTAGACGTTTAGAAAATTCTTGACATAAAAACAAAACAGTAGTAAACAGTTAAGGGCTATGATATGATGAAAGGCTTATGGCAGCAACTTTTCAATGTCATTAAGATGCATGGGCAAAGTGTTCTGATTGGTACCTAGACCTATATATCTTGGTTGAATGACTGCAGTGATGGGTAATTTGTCCATAACCATGCATAACGAAATTGACAACTAGAGCTTACAATTCTGTGGCATGCAGATAGCCATCATCTAGGGGTGTATTAGAGCATGAAACTCCAGTCCAATTGGATGTGCATGGATCTCCTCGATTCCATCTAGTCAAACTTTTATTGGGATCTGTCAAAGTTCTCTTAATGGTTTGCAATGCGCTCACTGCAAATTGTAATTAACATTAATTAATTCATCTAAATGAATGTTAGATGATTTTGGAATATGAAAGAGTAAATCAAACCAGACAAGATCTACTACTACTAGACTTTAAAGAGAATAGAGCCAAGGAAAGTATACATGCTTGGTAGTATTTAGACGTATGCATCATATCTCTCAAAAAGTGCTTAAACATAGTCCTATTCTTAAGGCACAATTAATGTAAACTCTTAGGCATTCTCTAAAAATTAAATCGCGAGTGCTAATGGCAGAAGCTCAAGCAAAATCGCCTTGTGGCCTCTACTATTGAATCAAGACACAAAAAAAGCTACCTTCATCTGGATGAGTTTTGGAATTTTGTACTCCAACAAGCGCTGAAGACAAGAAGAATTAGCAGCCCAGAAGGACTCAGAGTTTTGTTTTGGACATCCCAAGATAGTAGAGTTCACCAGAGTTATGAACCATCTCTGATCACTACACACATAACCAGAAATGGGAGTCTGTCTTTCAGCATAAGAAGAAAGCAACGAAGACTGAAAATTTAATCCCTTTTCTCATCGGAAAAGGGAAACAACTTTAGTTTGTATTCATTCAGATAAATGCAAAATTCCTGTGTGAGACAGCAGCTAATTAAAGAGACAATAAAGCATTGCTATATATAATTGTAAAAGAAATAGCAAGGAGGTTTGGGAAGAAAAAACGAAAATAAAACATTACCATGTGTAGAAAGATAAAATTGTAGAGACGAGAGGAGAGGTTCTGCAACATGAAATGAAAATGAGAAGATATATAATCGAAGTCTGAGTCTGACCTGGTCATTCATGCATGAGGAAAGTGGCGGAATTGATGATGGTGGAGGTGAGAACGTCCGTATTTTTCTTCTTCGATTTTCATAGCGTATATTATAAACCAACTGAATTAAAAGGACGGTTTTGAATTTGTGCAATTTGGATTCTTGATTTTTATGGGAATTAAAACTAATAAAAACTTTTAATTTAATAATAAAGATAGAAACTCAAAAATCTCGTGACATAATATGATCACCTTTTATAATAAAAATCGATCCTTATATTGATATATTATTTTAAGTTTTTGTAGTCTGTAACAAAAAAAAAAAAATGAATTTTGAAAAATTGTTCACGATGATGATGGCCGTATCTAGAGTTTTCATCCCATCACAAATGATTAATCCAATTTTAATTCTTGAGATTCTAAAATTTTGAAAGGCAGCTCTCGAGCACTTGAGTTTTTGAGTCTAATGGCATCAAGTCACATTTAAGATTTTAAGTGCATCTTTTCTCTTTTGAGTAACGATTCGAATTCAACCCCTTGCAAAATTGTTAAAAAAAAAAAAAAAAAAAAGCAGCTTTCAGCTTCTCTTAATTGGCTTGGTGATTGACTTCGTGCGGGCCTGTTAAGTTGTAGCTATCAAAGTACGTAGGGACAAGAAGAGGGTGAGGGACCATCGCCGTCTAATTCCTGTGGAGTCACTCTCAGTATTTATGGATTAGACTTTTTAGTTGGGTTTTGCCATGCCGTGCGTTCTGCAAAACATGAGCTTTGAAATTTCTAATTGATGATATTTTTCTCAACCAACAATGAAAAAATGAGGAGGTCGATGTGAATCGTTCAGAACGTCCAATTCCCCTACCCAACATAAGCTAATAATAGTAAAAGCTAGGCCTGGGCTCACTCTATGTAATCCATTATTGTTATTCCACCATCCAACTAGCTTTTCTTCGGCCCGGCTTGCGCTGGAGCCTGGAGGAATTTTCCTGGCCCACCTACCTTGATCACTTCACTCGTCTTCAGTTGGAGGCCCAGTTACCTTTCAACCGAAAGCCCGGCAAAAAAAAACATCATCCACGCCACACCTCTCTCTCTCTCTCTCACACACACAATTTCAGCCCGTTAAAATTGGATGTTCATTTTTTCGTAAAAGGCACCCACCCAACCCAAGTCGGTTTAGAATTGGATGCTACTTTTCAAAAAATTAGTTTAAACCCAGCAAGGCTACTAATGGTAATGGT